GTCTTTTGGTGCGTCATGTAATTAAGGTCTAACTGAAAACTTTCCGTACTTCAAAGATCACAGGAGAAGGGGTGAAGGACAATGAACCTATCAGAAGAATCAGAACAAGTAATGATATAGTGTAGTACCGATAATCGTAAGTTGGCAAGCTTGGGGAGGATGTTGATGCGGAAAGTGAACCAGTGGAGAAAAGAATAATGGAAAGAGAAGCTGAGTTCACTATACAATTCAGTGAACAAATGATGAATGAATGCTAGGAAAGGATTTTTATGGCTTACCGGAAACTAAAGCAAAACCCGCTACGTATTAGAGAAACCTAACAACACTATTTCATATAAACTAATTGCTTCTTAGGAAGGGATCTACGCAGATGAAGCCAGTGAGAGATGGTGGGGTAAACCCAATTACCAGTGTGGTGATGCAAGTAAAAGAAGAGAAGATTAGCACATTGGATCGATGAACTTCGCTGATGACTTTCATTTTATTTCTCACAAAGTCGAAGATTTACAAGCAGAGACCGACAAGTTAGAAAATGTGGCAGCGAAGACAGGATTGCAAGTGCACACAAAGAAGACAGCACTGATGAAAATGTCCTACCAACAACAACAGACACCATCAATACAGGGAATCTAAAGAAATTCGCCCCTTTCACTTACTTGAGAAGCTTCGTCTCAAATACCAGTGGCACGGATGAAGACGCCACGTCGAAGAACTGAACGACGTTAATTACTTAAATCAATGTGAAGATCAGCAGTACTGAGCTCAAAGAAAAATGACCCTAACTTTAAACACCACTGTCATGTCAGTGCTTCAAAGTGTTTCGGAAACTTGTGCTGCACGTCGTTGAAAGCACTTTGAACAGGCTGTAGACTTTCATTAATATTAGCCTTTCCTGTTTCCATATTGGACATCAGAAGACCGACAAAAAATGATGAGGAACGGGAAAATGATATGAGGGGAAATAAACAAGCACCTAACTTCCAGGAAAACTAAAGGCCAATCAAAATACACAAAGTAACAAAAGGATTTAAGAATAATAACAGTAATTCACACTACATTTGGTTATCTAACCAGATAAGGGTTACCAAGTTAGGTTAAGAGCAATAACAAATTGTTGTTGTACACACAGAGGGGAGGGGGCTTAAGTTTACGAATAGCCAAAGCCTCAACGCCCTTGACCGTTTATAAAAATAACTTTCACACTCGTTTCGATAACAATCTTGTGGTTCAGATGACTATCTATATACGAAGTTGGTAGTCTGCCACCTGCGTCTATCGATTTTCCGAAGTTCATCTGTTTCTCTAACCACTTCAGAATATGCTCCCCCACCCTTATATGCAGAGAGCGGCTACTCCTCCCTATGTTTTTGTGTCCATACATACACACGTAAATTGATATATAGTGTGTGGGATGTGACGTAATCGCTTGTGCACTTTTGAGGTTTGCAGTGGAGCATACTTTTGGCTTTTTCAATAATTACATGCCGAGTTGCATGATAGGTTCTGCGGGTGACCGAGTTTAGCCTGTCTCAAAACCATACTATTTTCCTCCCCACTGTATGTTAATTCAATGAAAACATCTTTCTTAGGGACAGAATAGATTGTAGGTTTTGAAACTAACTGACTTCCACGTAGATCTAAAAAATTTAAAGGATATCTGTTTCCAACATGAGTATCCTTCAGTATCTTACTTTCATCCTCTATGTAATCAGCCGTACAAATACGCTGAATTCCCTTGATTGAAAACTTCATGAAACCACTATTGTACTGTAGTGGACAGAAGCTGTGAAAATTTAAATGGTGTCCCGTCCAAGTAAGCTTTCTATAAACTGATCGCTTTATCGAACCATCATCACTCCTATTAAGAAGTATGGCTAAAAATGCAAGCTGGTTGCGGCTTTCTTCATTGCATGTAAGACTCAAACGATTCTGTACCAATTTACGTGTGTATGTATGGACACAAAAACATAGGGAGGAGTAGCCGCTCTCTGCATATAAGGGTGGGGGAGCATATTCTGAAGTGGTCAGAGAAACAGATGAACTTCGGTAAATTGATAGACGCAGGTGGCAGACTACCAACTTCGTATACAGCTAGACATCTAATCGATATGAAACACAGGATTGATGTCAAAACGAGTTTGAAAGATATTTTTATAAACGGTCAAGGGCGTTGAGGCGTTGGCTATTCGTAAAATTAAACCCCCTCCTCCCTGTGTGCACAACAACAATTTGTTATTGCTCTCAACCTACCTTGATAATCCTGACCTGGTTAGACAAGCAAACGCAGTGTTATATACTGTTATTAATCTTAAATCCTTTTTGTCACTTTGTGTATTTTGATTGGCCTTTAGTTCTTTATAAAATCACTTGACATGTAAATGTGTGATCAGACTACTCAAAATATATTGCGCGAATACATTACATTTTTCAGATAACCTCCTTCTTTTAATAACATTATCCAAAATTATAGAAAGGACTAATTGTTTTGAAACTATTTTCTAGTCAAGAAATTTACAGGAGGAAGTGGACATACACTGTGGAGACCGTTCAGTGACATAATAAGCCAGGTACTACAGTTGAAGTCAGATGGAAAGTAATGGGTTGGGCGTCCTAGCATAACGTGGAGGACATCATGTGAAGACGCAACGAAAGGTAGTGAACCGTCGTGGGGCCAGTTAAAACAAACAAATAAACAGAGAATGGAATAAAATAGAGATGTTCTGCTGAGGTGCCAAGCTATTTACCGAAAGAAAGGGACGAATAATAATCATGATGATTAGGTGCAATAGATTATTGTTTATGGGAACTATCATCCTTAAACTCCTTAGTAAGCAGAATGAAATAAGTTCCCTACGAAAAACACTATACACTATCAGTTGACACGTTGAAGAAACAAAGAGAAGACGGTCGTTTTCAAATCCATCAAACTACTGAAGACATCACACGTAAACGAAATTTCTATAATGTATCCATAACTAGGTAATTTGAAGCATGTGTATTTCTGGTTTCAGTGATGTTATGAACCAGATTGTATACAAGCTGACTTTAGTCATCTGTCCAGAGTTTCTGTTAACAATCATTCTACAGCTGTCAACTCTACCTGCATCTATCGCACCCGACTGAGTTCTTCTGCGATTATCCTAACACTACGCAGACTACACCCAGCACTTGTCACTTAAAATCCCACGTCCTTCACCTTTTTGTGTTCAATAAAGTTTCATCTATAGAACAGCTACGCACCATGTATTTGTTCATTCTTCTTATCGTTGTTAGGATTAGTTTCAATACAGTGATGCAACTACCCACTTGTCTAATGAATAAGACTGAAGTGATACTAGTTAACCTAAGGATTGCCGTGGTTTATATTGACTTTGTAATGAATGCTCACAGAAAATTGTAGAACACACAAACGCTAGAACTGGACTGATACCAAAACACCGAACAAATGTTCATCAATATCTACATCATGAAAAATGTCTTTTTTAAATAATGAATTAGTGTGAAGTTGATTGCTTTTGAGATGGATTACGTTAGGAACCAGTAAAGTAATCAATGAAAACCAGGGAGTACTAGACAGCTGCTTTGACTCAATTAGGGATTCTTAAGCAGTGAAAAACCACGACCCCACCAAACATACTAACTATGACTTTAAAAGGTGAGCTTGTTAAAACTGAGTCACAGGATCGAGAAACAATGACCTGTCAATCACAAACTCCGTCAACTTCGTGAAATGGGAACATCAAAACCTTGTGTCAATAGAAAAAGAGCTGAAGGTGTAACAGTGACTAAAACTGAGATAAAAATGGTAGGATTCTAATCAGAAGTCGTGACCGGTGGTGTCCACCGGGTCTGGTGAGATGGTAGTGCCACAGGTTATCACTTCAAAAGTGTCTTGAACTACGGTATAACAGCTCTCCAGAGCTCCCTGGTTTCCAGGACGGAATCGTATTCTAGTCAATAAATCGTCGTCTAAATACAAGACTATCATCTAAATTATTTAAATACAAACTACTTAACATGTAATAAGTCTGTACTCAAGGATAACTCAATACGTCACTAGGCAGCAGAATGAATTCTTAGCAGTAGGTGAGATTGAATTTGTATTTCCTATAGTGATCCAACGGAATGATCAATAGTGATTGAGAAGAAGGTAGTGTAGTCTAAAGAGCACCACTTAGTAACCTACCGAAGGACATAAACGCACGATGAACAATTTGACTCTTTAAAAGCAGTTTACGTTGCGAATTCAAACGTCTTGATAATTTAGGCAGATATCGGGTGAAAATTACTGTCATAAATGTGAAACCACATGCAAAGGTTATCTGTATATATCCCATTCCACATTGATTACAAAAATGTATTACTACAATTTATGTCTTATCATGCCTCACGATTAATATAGCTGCAGGTTTTGAATGCCTTAAGAACTCCTTTGTTATAACTTAGCTGCTAAGTTATGTTTGTTATAAAAATTATAATTATAATTCAGCTTAACACCTTCCACTGCACAGCTCAGTAAAGTAAGTTGATTCCCACAATTGTGAAGAGTTACAGAGTTTATAAATGAGTAACCCCCAAATACTGTGTTCAACAGTGCATTGTCAACAAATCATGCAGCAATTTGGTAATTCCATATTTTAAGATTCTCAAAAGTCTAAATAGATTAGAGCTTTAGCTTAATTATTTAAATCTATGAGGCGAAGTGGTGATTATATTCGAAAATTTGGTATTAACTTATGAAGAATGTCTCGTGAATAGTGTGAACTTTAATTTGTTTCTAACTGATTCCGACTGTTATGTGAAATGTATTCTTAATAATCGTCTTCTTTCTTACCCGACAATAATCAAACTAATTTAATTAAAGACAAATAAATGTATGTCAGTCATATATTATTAAGTAAAACGAAACACACATACACAGTTATAGAAGAAAGGAAGACGAAAACAGTCTATTAACAGTAAATACGTAAAGTTAAAGAAAGACAATTCTCATCATATCATCAGGTTTCATTAAAAAATAAGTAACAATAACAAAGCTTCTTGTGGATTACGGACATGATATCGACGCGGTCAAGTCATTCACTATTGTCAGCAGACAAAGAAACAAGAAGACGCTTGCAATTGCAGAGGCTTGTGCAATTCGAGTTTACAAACCAGGTCTCTGTGTATAAAAGGAGATGGTCGTGACTCTGAATCTACAATGGTAATACGTTTTACTTATAATTCTACCTATCATTATTATTCTTGATTCATTTAAAACTATCCTTTATCAGTAGGATTATCTTAACTCACTTCAACTCTATTATTATTATTGTTATTATATCTATTACTACTGACATCACTCTGTTTGCAACTCTTGTTATATTCTCTAATGTCTAATTGTTTATCTAAGTGATGCAATTTATCTTAATTTTGATCTCTCATACACTCTCTCCCCTTATCTATTTGAACATGACCTGGAAAAACATTCGCACCTGTCTTTCTGCATGACTAATTCAATGTAGTTTGTTTATTTATCAGTCCTATATCTCCCAATGTAATTTCAAAAGTATATAAATCCGTGTATGTAGAGTATTCAGCTGACGAGTTCTACCGAAATTTGATGAATTCATTAAATCCTGCTTTATTAACCTTTATTGCTTGCTTTAAATTCATATCGGGAAATAAATGTTTCCAAAAAATAAGTAGCAAAATAATAGAGGAACGAAACCTGTAGTTAAGTAATAATAAGGCATTCAACATATTATACTGTGAGTACAAAACATTCTTGTGCTAAAGGATATTTGAGAGCAAGACAATACTCACTTCGAAATAAAAAAGTTTGTTCTAAAAAACAATTTAGAGAACATATTTCCGATAAATTTGGAAGATTGAGTGTACACTCACTCCAAGATTTTCCAACCTTTTACGTCCAGGCAAACTGTTCACCTCCATAAACGTTAAACTGGACGAGACTGTTGCGCCTGCCTGTTCAATTAATTTGACACACGCTTCTAAGGTTCCTCCAGTAGCCATTACATCATCGAACAGCATTATATTATCCCCAGGTTTGACAGAATCTCTCTGAATTTCTAGAGTATCCTATTACACCGAAAGAATAGAAAAAGACAAATGCGTGTCAGGTGTAACAATTAGAAGACTAGTTAACAATTGAGAATTAAGAAGAATATTGGACAAGTCAGATTTCAGACAATAATATCATTCCACTTAAAGCAGTTCAGACAGAAAAGGCTTGCTCGTTTTTAATAGTTGAAAAGCATTTCTTAATAAACATGTATATCTGCATGCAAAGACCAAGTTAACTAGGGAAACTACAGAGATTCTCACCCTTCAGCAAACTTATGATGCCTTAATGATGAGGAGAGCTTTCATATTAAGGACTTCCGTATTGACAAAGCCATATTACTTAGTAGGGCTGTAAACTCGATATGCGCTTGCGAAAAAAAACTACATCTCCTATTTGATGTGTAATCAAATTCATTAACTTAATAAATCGTATATTAACAGGACTTTCATACTGGCCACTAAACTAAAAGAATTGCTATGTGGAGGATTGCTTCACATCAAGTGATTGCAGGAATTACTGAAAGCCGATATTTCAATAATTCTTCGATATTAGTACTAGAAGAGTTTACCACCATTACACTAAGTTTCTTAAATACAGGTACATGGACTAATTATACGTTAGAAAATTTGTGCGTTTCACTCAGCCATCAAGCTTTCTGTCACCACCTATTGGGTTATGTAGGTACTGACATATATGTATATGTATATATGGTTTAATGCATACGTCTTTGAAATTTGCGATCGCGAAGAAATATTCTTACCACTTCTCAACCTATAGGTTATAGGATAGTACCGAATTCTTAAACACTTTCAGTGTACATAGAAGGTAAGAGGAGTTGGAACTCGTGATCCAATAACCGCATTACTGCATTCAGATGATTCAGTTTCTCAATATTAACCTTAATCAACTCTCTACTGGTCTAAACTGAAATTGCATATAACTATAAGCAATTTAAAAATAAGACGAAATACTACATCTACTGCAACAGAGACTTACAGTTCCATATTCTAACTCGTATGCCTGAGAGTAACAAGGACCTGGAAGTTTTCCTGCTTTTCGAGCAGGGACGAAGGAACAATTCAATCGAAGAGCCAGAGTTGGTCCAAGAAGTAAACCACGTGACTCAAGGCCTACAACAACATCTATTTTCTAATATATTGTAAAGAAGGTTAATAAGTACGACATACCTTTCCGCATTGTATGTTACATGTAGCAATATTGTATACTTCATCCAGCAAATACTGCGTTAAGACAGGGTTTCGGTATACACCGAGAAAATCTCTAAAAATCCAAGAATTATTCAGCAAATGTTTTCTACCGAAACTGAATACCCTTTATTGGGAAATCCGGAAAGATACCAATAGCTGACTCAATAGCCTTCAGTCTGGATTCACGATCACACATTACGCAGAACGGGAGAGGACTAAGAAACTGAAATCGTCTGAAAGCATCAGATAATCAAAATACACAGCAAAACTCATTAAAATTAAGACCTTAACGAGAATAATATGAACGTATATCGAGAAAATAGTTAAAAACCTCAGCAATTGTGCCGATGATAAATCTACGTTACTAATGGCTCCAACACAAACAACAGGAATTTCTCAATGTATTTTTAATACAGTGGAAAACAAAATAAACAACGGCGGTGACTTTAAGTGTTTCTTAAAGTCACTATAGGATATTTCACATATTTTGCACACATTTATCTAATCTCATAAAACCACCGAAACACTAAGTAACTTATCACTAATTACTAAGATTTATGGCCAAGTGAAGCCTATTGTTCTATTTAAGTAGCCTAGTCACTGAGAAAGTACGAAGGCTTTATACAACTACCTTGACGCTTGAAGCAGTCACGTTTCACATGAAGTTAGTATGCTGATGTATACTGCGACAAGGCACGAGGATTACTCAACACGTAGTTAAGTTGGTTCAGATTTTCAGTCTTATCACGGTAAAATAAGACCATCCAAATGCATACTATTATTTTAGTCTGATTCTGGACAAGTTAGAACTACTACTACGTTTGCTCCTCAGTCCAAGAATACGGTTCCGCGGTGCATGTCAAATACCTTCGAGTAGTCACTGAATTTCTGAGGCATAAAACAAAAACAGTAACCATCTATTGAAAAACATGTATAAAAGGAATTCGAGTTATCATTCAGAAGCAGGAAAGAAATCAGCAGTTCTCTAGAGAACTTGCTAAATAGTTACGTAGAGATTAGAGAAACAACATGGAAGATTGGATCAACAAGGACAGGTAGATAAACTGTTAAAGTATGAGGGGGCACCAGGAAAAGTCATACGATGGAATTTTCTTACCTCAGAAACAAAGGATTATCAGAGTAAACGAAGTGCGCATGCTATTGTTTCAGCCAAAAATCAAAGTTATCAAAGCCTGTTATTATCAACCATTCAGTTATATTCAGCTGTTTCGTTAATAATAAAAGAAATGTAAAAATAAATAAACCTAGATAAATGGTAAGTGTTAGTCGAACATACGAACTTTGGAACTACTCCATCGTTTCAGGCAGACCAATCTTTTATAGTCCCGCCTGAGCGATAACCTAAGGCGAGCTTTGCTTCAGATTGGTCACTTTGAATTAATATGCGGACCAATGTCCTCTGAACAATGTCCAATGTCCTTTCAAATATTTGTTATTGTTTGATTTTGCTGTCTTTTTTTTTCTAGAAACTGGTTTGTCATTCTTTTGAAACATCTGCAATGCTTACTTTAATGAAACAGGAGAGAAACAATGTATCAACAAATAGAACCTACTACTTAAGTGTACTGATAGAGAAACAAAGTAGATTCGGATTCACATGATGTGGATAGTGGGCTCTTGTGTCCTGCGTTAATCCTCACAAAATATATATCTGCAGAGACCCAACTTCTCTTTGAAAGCGTTCACCGATGGAGCTGATACTAATGAATCAAGTAAGGAGGTCCAGTCGTTGACCACTCTGTGAGGTAATCTATATTCAGCACGTATTTCAATCGTCCCCCGTTTGAACACCTTTTTGCGGAGACCCCGTAAATGTATCCCAGAAGATGAGGAAAGGTTAGAAGGTCAGTTCCTAAATCACCCTTAAGTATACGGTAAGCTAAAATTAAGTCGCCTCTTTCCATTCAGTATGATAACGGGAAAAGATTTAAGTGCCCTTCCTTTTGTCATAGGGAAGGTGTGAGATACCACTAGCCATATTGGTTCCTACCCTTCGTACTCTTTCTAAGATATGTCCTTCCTGTGTATGCAGTGTTCTGGGTGAGGCCTGACATGTGTTGCTTAGAGTACTTTGGACATAGATTCACCTAATCTTTCGAAAGCTCTTCGGAGTGCCCATAGCATTCGAAAGCCTTAGCTGCGGCTGCATTGCAATTTGCAGTTGTTTTCAAATCATTGCTGAAGATGATTCCTAGGTCCTTCTGTACGTTAACATCAGGTAGTTCTGTGTCCCCTGGGGAGTACGACGTATAAGACTTTTGACTTATGAGGAACGTTCAACGTTTTCGTTACATTTTTGCGTGATTCGTTGCATAAAATTTACCTTGTTGTAATCCTTCCGCAAGTACTCTACCTCCTCCATACCTATAACCACTAACTCTCATAGCAAATAGTTATGGTTAATCAAAGTATTAAGCAACGAACTCAATCCCCTGTAAATCTGATGACTAATTTTAAGTCGCTGATTGCTACATCAAGCAACACACTTCCTACAAACGGTTATAGTGAGCCACATAACTCACTTGTATGTCGCAAGCGTCGAGCTGAAACTGAGGATAAAACTGTACTGACAGCTAGTATTAGCACTACTCCTAAAAATGCAGTACCCTCTGCTCATACAGAACCCCTCCCTACACCTTATGTGCTTATCGAAAACTCCAGATATCAAGCTCTGTTTCAGTACTATCTTCAGAAATAGAACTTCTAAAGTTGTCTATAGGAGAACTTAAGGCCGAGTTAAGGGGAATAAAAACAATAAGTCAGTAAATCCTGGAATTTCTGAAACCAATACCAAAATATCCAAATTATCAGATCAGATCAGCGATATCAGATCGCAGGTCTGTGAACTGACACCTTTAACTATCCTCATGAAAACAGTAGACCTTTACAAACTTGACACAGAATCGGTATCTAAGGTGGATAACCTCATTAACTTTGTTACTACAGAAGTAACAAAACGACTCGACGCTAAACTAAGTGCTATTGTTTACAACGCTCCGGACAATGAGGCACTAAAAAAGGTACAGTGTATCTTACTTAGTGAGGCGAAAATGCCCAACTCCAAGACTAAATGCTTATGGGCTGAAGAAGAGTCAACACGAAAAGTGTTGTCCTATTTGTTTTCAGTTCGAAACACCAGCAGAGGCCAGAAAATTCATTCACTCCCAACACACCCTATCGCAAGCCAGAAACTACAAACTAATAAGGGTTGCGGTGGACAAGGCAATCATAGAAAGGCGCACATATAGTTATCTCACTAAGTCTAATTGTAAAACAAATAATGGGACATTGCAAGCAGCAATTATACCCAACTCTTTGAGAGATACCGTAGAATCCACCGCACCACCCCTCTCAAACCACACAGAATTATCCTCTCAGAGAGCGACACCAACCGAAAGGCCACTAAATTGTGATCAAATAGCCAATAAAACTATACCACCTATCACCGTAGATATAGACATGTCACTAAATACTGCCAGAAAAAATGTCAAAATCCCCCGAAATTTGACCCTGTCCTCTCCTAGCCATAAGTCGATTGGCAAAAAAGGAAAATATGACCCCAAATCATGCCGACAACAACAATGGCAGGATAAATAAGCCCACATTCCCCACGGTCAATAGTATTGGCACCCACAAGTCGCGAAATAACACCGTGGCACACACTGATAACCAACGTCACAACAATGACACCCTCAATAGTATAAGTGGCAATAGTCAGAACTCGACCACCAACATCTCAGGGTGTTCACAGTATGGCACACAAATAAATTTTGATCGGACATATGCTACAAGTCTGCTGGGAACTAACCCACAAAGCAGTATACACGAAACGTATACAAGGACACAACTAGTACCAAACAATAGATGGAATAATAAACCGTGGTCTTCACAAGGTCCCAATCATTTTTTATCCCCTGCGTCCCTGTCAGCGTTGGAAAAACAGCTGGTAGGGATGTTAACACTCCTAAACCGCTAGTGCTGGCTCCCCGTTTGCATGAATACAGGAACAGTGTAGTGCACACGCATCCATTAAGCACACTTGATACATGCACAGATAAAGATCCCTACCCACGTTTCTAGCTTAACTAAAAATAAAAATGCCTTAACCTATAGCAAATTCAGTACTCCAACGCTTAATTCTTCACCGAAAACAGCACACATTAACTCGATAGACATAGATGAGCATGGTGTTGAAACTCCTCTTAACATAGGGTCCTCATGTCAAACAGTACTACCGGGTGCTGAACCATATTCGGGGCTGATTAACGAACTTAAATACTTCAAATGCTATTTCAAATCTCATCTTTACCTGTTCCTCATAAATGCTAGATCTGTTCTAAATAATTTACCGATGCTCAGAGCACTCACAGTAATATACAAACCCCCTATTATTGTCATCACTGAATCCTGGTGTAATTCGAACATACTGGATGATGAGATAAGCTTAGATAACTCCACACACTTTCGGTGTGACAGGGAAGGTGGTAAAGGAGGGGGTTGTCTCATGTACTTTCTGAATGCACTTACTGTATCACAGCTAGAAAGTAGTACACTTAACATGCCTGAGACTTTATGGGTTAACTTACACTTAAATAACGCAATAGTATTAATTGGATGCACCTACAGAGCACCTGGCACCTTTAGTAATTACGAGACCCAACTTATTAATACTCTAGAACAATTATCCACCCCACACTACGATCATAAGATCCTATGTGGAGACTTTAACTTACCAGAAATCAACTGGGACATACCCACAGGCCCAACTAAATTTGATAAGTTCTTAGGCACATTGGATATACTTGGCAGGAAACAAACTGCCAATACACCTACAAGAGGTAATAGTGTACTAGACTTAATCTTCTGCCACAATATATGTTCCCTACCCACCCTAGTGGGTCCTGAGTTTCCAGGGAGCTACCACAAAACAGTGCTGTGTGCACTGCCACTTCCGTCAAGTAGCAATGTAACCCATACCCCTACTTCACAACAAATAACTTACAGGAACTACAGTAAGGCAGACTGGACTATAGTGAAATCAGTGTTAATATCCTCAGAATGGAGAAAGTACTTCTATACTGATAACCTCTCGAAAGCTCTAGACATCTTTCACTATAAGTCAAACACATGCTTAGAAGCTGTGATCCCATTGCAAACAGTAAGTCTCAAAATTTA